GTATCAATACACTAGATGGAATCATGCGAATTGTTACTGAGGATGATCGCTTCAATGCAGTATCTGATCAGTTCTTTAGCAACCGTCAGCTCAAAATCATGCGAGTGATGAACGACACTGAAGTAGTCGGCTAACAACAATCTACTTACAAATCTTTATGCATATTGTACAAACGTGCACTTGGCACGTAGGTTTGTTGTTTAATAACCAAATGTGTGATTCGCTCATCGAAAGACATTCGCCGATGCGACGATTCGTTCAACTCTTTGCGCACATTAATTCTTTGACGCAAATACGGTTTTCTGCGGCCATGACGTGTGCTCATCTCCACATCGCCTTGATTGAATCTTGCATAATCAAAGTCCCGGCTGAAAGTTTTCGAAATTCGACCACAACAAACAACCTAATCAATTAATCCATCAAGCAATCACCCAATAAATCAAACGACCAAATCAAATTTATTTCGTACTCTCTGCCATTCGAGTAATCTTTCACTTAAATATCACCATCACTTGTAGTTATTTAACGCAACAGATTTTAGAGCAAACATTTTGGAGTAACTTCAGTGAACCTTTTCTGGATGAGTAATATAAATTGAGGAAATTTGATGATCTTTTCTTTAAGGATTTATTAGCGCCTATATCGAAGCATCATTTTAATGTGCTGACGTTGAAATTGAAAAATATGATGCTCGATTAACATCACCGCACAGATTAATCCAGGTCTGTGTGATGGAGTGAAGGGCAATAAGCTCAACTAATTGAACCAACTCATAAAGTTGTACGAATCGCGTATTTCGTTTATCGATGTGCACTTCATGATCGCCATTGTATCCGCGAAAATCGATTACTTCAACACCGACATTCGTATAGTCAGTAGCGAGTTCAGGCCGATCGTAGTCGCGGTTGATGCGGTGATCAGCTTTCACTCGTAGAAGTGAAACACGAAGGCCAATTGACGGATTCTAGAAACAATCCCAAAACGTCAGAGATAGCTTTATCTCTCAAATAAGACGCATCGAACAGCTAACTATCGAACATGATAGGTTATATATTGTACATCAACGATGAATGCTTTCGGAATACAGAGAATTTTTGACGATGAACATGATGCATAATTCATGTCGTGGCATCGCTGCAAACTCCGTTATGATAAGTTTTGTTCTTCGCTGCCATCAATAACGCATTTTCAATTACAAAGATTTTCATGATTGATAAGAAGTTTCGAAATTGACTTGAAGAGAATGAAGCGAGTCGATCAACTGATCCTCCAGCAAGTTCCATCGTTTATGTTTATTGACCGAATAACCAATATCGAAGTTTCCACCACCAAGAATTTTTTGCGCCTCAATCAACGAAGGATACGGAGTGAACTGAATTAGAAAGAGTTCACAATTGCAGCATTTCAATCGAACAATAAGCAATAGAAAGGGTTTATATTGGTAGTATCAAGAAAGTTGATGACAATTTTCATCGATAGCTGAACAAACACGAGTTTAACGAATTCAATTGTTAGTCTTACATTACTACGGCGTATAAGTTCGCCATTGTTGTCAACGTACTTGAAACTATCTGGATGACTCACGTATGTCCAAATCCATTTTGATATGAGATCTGGTCCACTTAATCTGAAACTTGGAAATGCTGATCGTCATGCTTTGGCCTTTTCGCTGATTATGAAGTTGATTTCAGTCTGATCCATTCCTTTTTTGCATCAATTCCGATGTGAGTCACAATCTCGAGAATCGCATGGTAACGGAGAAAATTTCGAGCCAATTGACAAAAAAAAACGCAAATTAACATCGTACAAGATAATCATGTGCAATATTACATCATCTTAGATAGGTACGGTTTAGATAGGCGTGATGCGCAGGCCTGGTTCAATTCGAAATTTTTTGAGGTTTCATATGTCATATGAAGGAGGCGAAAAATTTTGCTCTTTATGTGATTTCTTACATTTTCCTGTGACGATACATCTTGAGATCCTTGCGAGTATGACGTCCGCTGTACACTGCTGGCTGATCATCGCTCGAATAAACCGGCATGTGGAACCTTTGTTGTGGTGAGTAAGTGGAGAATTACTGGAATGGAATGGTACTTCAACGAAAAAAAATTTCATTTTGATAATTCAATTCTGCGACCGTTCACGTGGCTCATGAATCTTGCGGCTCTTTACATATCAACGGTTTCATGATTACTTGTTAACATCGCTAAAATAACGAAGCAAATTCCAGATTCGATGAGGACAACAGCAACACCAATTCGACAGCAGTCTAGAAACCAACATCAGTGTCATCATGCTCAACACAATCATCACTATCTCATCATGAAAGCATCATCAAACTGGATGGATCGATTGGTTTGCTTTAAACACAGTCATTGTTGTTTTAAAAGCATACATAATAAGCTCTCATCATTTGCAGGCATGAGCATGATGGTATTGTTAATTGATGACTTCAAAGAGAGGAAGTAGCACTTTATCCGCTAATAATAATGCTGAAAGTTCATTTGAATCAATACTTTCAAATCGTACATACGTTCTGTGTATGAGAAAGAATATAGATTTTTTGTTTCGCTTTCTGTCAAAAAACGTTTACAAACTCAAACGCACTAAATGAATCGATAGATCCTGACTTTCAAGCCTTTAAACTTGAGTTTGATTGAATTTTTTGGCTCTCAGATAACGAATGAACCGAAAACGGAAAATCTGAATGGAAAAATACCCAAACACACGAGATAACAGACGTGGAAAATTGACAAATTTCATGATGAAATTGTGAATTGTGAATAATGAAAAGAGTAAGCGAGCAACATGCATGACGAGCAAATCGCAGAGATCTTCATCGGTTGTTTTACTCCACAATACACATAATTTACTGCCTTATTCAACAGATGAATCATGAAATCAGCTGCTGCCGTCATTTGAATCATGAAGAATAGATGAAACGCCTATGGACATTTCATCCTTTTATTTGGAAACGTCATCAGTGAATAATCCAGTTGTAATGTTGTGCAATACGAGTATTATGTTGCCATACACAACGCAGTTGCACTACGCTCATCCCAATTCAATGCGTTTTTTTGAGTGATTCTTTTTCTAGAGTTGCTGGTACGTCATTGAATCGAAATGGTTCGCTTCTATCAATACTAGAAGACGACTGAGTACGAGATAAGAAAGAAAGCGTCGAGTTGATTGGTGATGAGAACGAGGAGAATTTCTGTGTTGAAAAAATTTCTGTGATTATGACTGTTTAATGGACAACTTAATGCGCATGAATCACCAATTTTTTAATGTTCAATCATCAATCTTTAAAGTAAGATATGTAAACAATGAGTGTGAAACGATCACATTCGAATTTCTCATCATTGCGCATTTCATCGTGCAATACGAACGAACACTTGCAACAATATCTCATCCCTAATGTCGTTCAAATTTTGAATCCGCGATATTCTGCGGAACCATTGACGATACGCACGTCTGCGACTGCTGGCCTCCAGAGAAATGTTATTTGATTTCGTTGACAAGTCAATTCGTTTAATTTCAACAGATGCCAGAGAAAATTCGGTTCGATTCCGGTTGTTTGACAAAACGACAAACACGAATGAGTGCAAAAGTACCTGAAAAAAACATATCGTTTGAACAATATCCTCGATGGCATTCTTAATCATATCTTTAACAACTAGCTGTATGGTTATGTCAAACATGATAATTTTTAGACTGAACGTATGGAGGTATGCCCGAAAGTAACGGGAATGATGCCACAGACAAGTTATTTCAGTTCTGAGCAGTAGACATCAAGTCTTCCAATCGAGATTTATTCTAATAAATCCACTTTTCTACCTCTTGTCTACAGCCCGCAAAGTATGATTACTTTTCAGACACACGTTACATGCCTAAGTTGTGGTTATCGCCTAGCAGCCACAATCTGCCAAGTGCTGCACTTCCACTTCCAGGACTCGTTTGGGAGACTAGTACAACGAATTTGGAACCTTGTACAAAGAAACAAGATGAACAGATAATAAGCTTTATTGAGCAACGAGTAAGATACTGCAAAACACAACTTAACAATGTTTTATAATAATATAATCAGTGATTACATTTGATGGGAAGAACGCAATGTTATGACAGTAATGTTGTGTTTATTGCACATCAATAATATTAACTGAACAAACAGAAACAATAAAAACATTGTGCTGATTTGCTCGAATTATACAAACGAACTGAAAAAAAANAAAAAAAATCAAATGGACGGTTACAAATTTTCACTCGTAATTCAGGTCATATTTCAGCCAATTGTCATCATAATTAGCATCGTTTATTTTTGTGATTGTCATCAGTGATAAATGGCATTATTGTATAAACAGAATCATGAATACGAAACACAACCAATGAGAACGGTTCATCGCTAACGTAACGGCTAACAATAACAAATAGTTCAACAGCACTGACACATTCTTAGTCCCCCCTAGCAACTCAATCTCAATACATCGATTGTATGCATTCAAGAAAGAAATTTTGCAGAAGTCTGATTCGCCAGAAAGCGAACGAAGGAGTGAATGAATAATAAAGAGCATTTTGTCATATAAGAAGTCAATACGACAGAAAGACAGCGTTTTGAGATGAGAAGATTCTCGGCAATTTGGAATCAGCGAATTGAAATATTCGTTATCATGATCATAACAGTAGATCATTCAATGTCAACCTTTGCAAAGCCAGACGATTGAAAGTTAGACTGTCCCATTGAACGTCGTCACTGATGAAAACTTTAAGCGGACATCAGCGAGAACCTTGAAAGAGCGATGAAATATGAGACTCTGAACATTTGAGTGAATCAATCGAAAGAAAAAAAAACAACAAGAATAGAATCGCTTATTTCAAAAATGTGACGTATACGCGTACACGTAAATCAAAACTGCATCGGTGACCATAAACAAACAATGAGATTTTCGAATAGCAATTATATTACAGAAGACGGTAACGATTNGGATAATGATAAATCAGTTGATAATTTCAACAAAACAAAGACAAAAATGATGAAAAGGTATTCTCAAAAAGTCATTGTATAGGCGATTAAGAAACACAAATCAATCAATTAAGTGTATATTCAAAAAGAATTCAATGAACTTGTTAACCTCGACGAAACAACAAACGATGAGGCGAAAACTTCGTTGAAAAATGAACGAAAATCAGAAGTGCAACAAAGTAATTTGTTTAAATGCACGAAAACAAAATGTGTTGTTGTATTTGCAAAAAGTGATTTGGCAAGGAATAATCATGCAATAAATATGGCAAAATTGCGATGAAATGCATAGAAAACGTAGGCAAGCTGAGGTGAGATAGACACGTTCAATTGTAATATGTCATATAAACAATTATAAATGCCACATAAAAATTGGTAGATAATATTCAATTAGATCTGTTCATAACAGAACAGATTTATTCATATTTATATTGGGCTACTGTTCTTTTTGTGAACTGAAGGTGGTAATTCACACACACTGAGAATGCGATTCGGTTTTTTTGACCTTGAAATGTTGATGAGGCGCATGTGCATGGTTTTGAATACAACGGAAACATGAATGAGTACTCTCCCCTGACAGCAGTTTGGTACGAGAAGATATTTTCATAATTCATCGATATAAAGCTGAGCGAATTAATGCAAAATTCAGGATAAACAGCTTATACACACGGAATTCCTTTGTCAGTGACGACACATAAAACGCACTTTTCGATAATTTTTGCTGATCTATTTTTGAGAGAGAAACACCACATAGCGGATATACACACGGTTTCACTATCTAGATCTTTCACTATGATTTTCAAAGGTCTGAATAAACCAGAACGATTAGGTTCATGATTTGGATGGCTGGCTCTCGGTTGGCATCCTAATTACCAGAATTGCCATTTTGTTCGTGTATCAACTGGAATAAATTGAAGTTGGCTGGTAGTGCTTGTGCATGTTGAACGTTATTTGTAGCGCCGAGCGACATTTGCTGTGCATGCTGCAGTAAACGAACCATCTCGGCGATCGCTGGATTCAACGCGTTCACACTGGACGAGCGAACCGATGGTGCGAAGATACCGAGCGGCAACGAACTGAAACTGATAAACACCTTTTCACTACTTCAATACTTCTACTATCAGTGGAGATGCACAATCACCAACTGTATCAACAATTCAATGATACAATCTTATCGAGCCGTTTCCTGTTTTCACTATTGCTCCGAAGAAATAATTGATTGGGCAGAAAAGAGTGGGTGAGAAGGCAAATTTCCTCCTACTGTGGAGAACACGGATCATAACTCACGTTGGGTCAAGAGCAAAAGCAGCGGCTGTTGACTGCTTCAAGTCCATCTTTGTGTTGGTCAGATCCAGAGGACTTGGTGCTTCCGAATTCTGACGCTGAGACGTCTTCGTTGATGCTGTTGTTGTTGGTGTTATGGCTTCAGTTGATGGTTTCGCGAACTGAAAAATATCCCCTTTACAATCAGTGTTTGCTTCGGTCAGAGGAAACTGAAGTATCACTGAGACGGCGCCGTAACTAACGGAATCGAGGAAATGTCTTCAAGCCTACAGCTTATGTGTTCATTTTTGTGATCACAATACAAAATTGATTCGATAGTGAAGCGATTTAATCATCGAATGAAATGATTTTTTTGTTCATCTGGACAAATTTATGAACTGATTTGTTCATTTGACCATCTGTAAGAGTTGTGTTCATTTGAGTGTGAAATATTGGTTACAACTACAAGATGTGACTGCTCAGAATTACGGGGCAATGATTCAAATAATACCTTAATGTCATTTTCAACGGCCAATTTAACAGGTCGTTCACTTTTACGCTTTCTAGTGCCACCCCCACCAGCAGATGTACTGCTGTTGTTGACCATATGATTAGAGGATGATTCTGATTTATTAGCAACATGCTTATTATTGGAGGTCGGTCGTGTAGTTGCAGTGGAAATATTCATGGATGATTGTTCACTACACGTTGGTGACTGCGATGCACGAGTTGAGTTCGAAATGGTTGCCGTTGAAACATCGGGCGAACAATGGGCGGATGAAGAGCCGTATGAGACGGAATCCTGACAAATAAATTTTGATCAATGATCAATTCGCTCAACAAATGGCATTTGTAATAAGATAAGAATTTGAGAATATGAGCCGTTCTGAGATCACTACAAATCATTCAAGTCTTTGAATATGCTCAGACTCATAGCAGATTGCTGTCATCCAACTGCAACCGAAATCGAAGAATTTGGATGAAGACCCTGGACCGGACGTGATAAAACTCACTGATTTAGCGGTGGTGAAACTGTTCTCGTGTGTTCCGTCCCCATGGAAGCCACCATCAAACTGCCTTTGTGGTGTGGATGTGTGCAGTTTTGGATTGGGATTCGCAGAATGTCGATTCCTGAATGAAGCATTTCATAAATAAATAATCTAAATACTCTTTTTGTGGAATGCATCTAGCCCAGTGGTTCTCACGTTCGGGTGCTCCATTACCCATTTTGATGATCGGGCAGACCTCCGTTACTCTTCCTCCCCCCCCCCTCCTCCTGGTATTCGACATGACCAAGCCTTCTCTCAGACCGTTGTGTTGCTCATTATTGCAGTTGATTATGATTGCAAGAATCACTATGTCTATGACACGCTCACTTCGAACTGATTCAGATGGATTCTCATTCTTTTCAGACGTGTTGTATTCACTCTCATAGCTATCACATGCGAATACCGTTCTATTG